TAATGTAAGGAATGCCGCTACACTGTTTGTTTGCCCCTGCATTTGTTGATGGGTATGGAATGGAAGAGCTAGGTCACCAGTGAAGTCCAAATCGTCTAATTGATTCTCAGATGTCTACTGTATCCCGTGCTTTCCTTCAGATGTCGAGGTCTTCATAATCCACTCGACCACAAAAAGAAAGAGAAAGGGGGAGAGTAGACAGCTTTGTCCGACTCCGGTCCTCACTTGGAATGTGTCTGCTAGCTGTCCTCAATGCACCACTTTGCAGTGTGGTTCTTCATATGAATTCCGGATGATGTTGACGATCTCAGGTACACCATAGTTTTGAACAAAGCTCCATAAGCTCGGCTTATTTACACTATCAGACGCCTTCTCATAGTCGATGAACTTGATGTATTGTGATGAGTTCCATTCAATTGATTGTTCAACGATGATCCTTGGTGTCGCGATTTGGACTGTGCATGACCGATTCTTACAAATTCCGATCTTTTGATATCGAAGTTGGACGTCTACATGCAATATTTAGAGAAAAAGAAATCATGTTTTCCAGATAATCAAGCATACCCAACCTTACGGCTAGACACTTGTACATCAACAAAGCTTATTATACAACATTAGTAAAAGCAGATGAAATCAATAAAATAAGTGAAATCGTGGATGCCTACTGCTGAGGAATTCTACACTAGGATAAAACGGCCGTCCAGATTTCCGGTGGTGGTCCAACTTAGATCGACTCGTGATTTCAACTGAAAAAAATACTGCAATCTCCACAAATTCCCATGCAAATTGAAAAAAAGCGAATCGAATTAATAACAATAAATGGTTTGAAGGAAAACAATCAGTTGTCAGGATAAAATTTATGAAATCATATTGAAACTGAGAATCTAGGTAAATTATTTTATTATTTTATTTAAACACATACATATTGGTACAAAAAGGCACCAGATACATATGCGCCACACAAAATAATGAAAGTAGGAAGAGAAAGGATGAAAAGATAAGGCGGACTGAAATGTACAACCGGGAGACTCCTTCAGTTGAGGAAGTTAGAACCACTCTTTATGAAGAAAGTAAAAGAAGGTTACAGCAGGATCGCCATTGGCTTCTATTCTGAGCCATATCTGATAACGTCTCTAGCCACTGTGTTGCACCATCTCTCGGACTCCAGCCAGGGAGTCGTGGAGGACCAACAGAAGCTAGCCCTTTGCAGCTTTCTTTCATGCCACGACACCATGTCATACACTGACCTCCTCTCCGCTTTCTCCAACCAGTCCCAGAGTCGGCAAATAATGCACGACGTGGAAGTCTCTGGGACGACATTCGTAAAACATGTCCAAGTCACCGAAGTCGGTGTTTCAAGATGGTAACACCAATTAAATTATCTACTCTGCGCCCGAACACACGATGCCGAACCTCTGCATTACCAACATGGTGTTGCCACTGGATGTCAGCAATCCTTCGGAGACAACGATGATGGAACACAGAGAGACGTCTAACATTCTCAACTCGGAGAGGCCAGGTTTCACAAGCATAGAGCAAAACTGCTCTCACCGACGCGTTGTAGATCCGACCTTTTACAGCCAGACTAACATCACGAAGGCGCCAAAGATGGCCCAGATTGGCATAAGCCGCTCTGGCTTTCATTATACGTACATTATTCTCATCACTCACACCACCAACAGCACTTATATAGCTACCTAGATACACGAACTTCTCAACTACTTCGATCTGCTCACCATCCAGGGTGAGTACAGGATGAGAATCCTGCCAGTCTTGTAGGAGTACTTCGCACTTGGAGGGTGCAAAGCACATGCCGTACCTGTGGGCACTGATTGTCAACTGATTAAGTGCGGATTGCATGCCTTGGGCATTATCGCACAGCAAGACAATATCATCCGCATACTCGAGGTCGAGAAGTCGTTCTCCAAGCAGCAGATCCACACCACCATTACTTACATTCATCAGAGCTGTTTCCAGGATGTCGTCGATGGCAAAGTTGAAGAGGAATGGTGAGATCGGGCAACCCTGCCTAACCCCACTGCTTGAATGGAACAAGGGAGAAAGGTGGTTGTATGCCCTCACTCTGTCTGAGGTGTTCGTATACAGGGCCTTTAAGATGTTAATAAACTTCTCAGGCACACTGTTCTTCAATAGACAATTCCAGAGAACAGTCGTGTCCAACGAATCGAAGGCCGCCCTGATATCAAGAAACACTACGATTGTTGGCCTGCGATAAGTATGACGGTGTTCTAACATTTGTCGGAGGGTGAAGATGTGATCAATGCATCCTCGATCAGAACGGACATGAAAATGCACTCCACTCACTACACTGCTCTCGTTCCTAATAGAAGAATCTAGGTAAGCGAAAGAATAAATGCTTCCAGGCCAGTAAACTTTTTTGCAAAACTACACTAATTTTATCCATTCTGTAAATTTTAAGTTAGTTTATACATAGAATTTTAAAAATAAGTGAACAGAAGGTAGATTAATATAAACAAATACAGAGAAGATTGTTAGATAAGTCATTCTCAGTAGGATATATATACGTCATATATTGCACTTGTATTAATCTTTAATTACTCTTTGAAAGAAAAAGTCAAACGGATTATATTTAAATTAATATTATCCTTAATACCAACTTATGTAATCAGATTTGCATTAAAAGGATGTTTTTAGGAACTTGAGTCAATAGCAGTTTAGTTTAGTGTTCACAAATCAGGAAATGTACCAAAAAACAAATCTGAGATGGATTTTCGACGGAATTCTTTAAATCGACAATTTTTTACATTGCATTAAAATGTAAATAATGTTAAGGATAACTATTAAATGAATGCTTGATTGGTTCAATAATATAAGGCTTCTTAAGAGAATAATCATCTTGAGATATAAGCTAATTTCAAGTTGGATAATCTTTGAGACTCAGTTCTAATAATAATATTCACAGTGGTAACCGAACTAAAGAAAAATTCTCAGTATTTTGACGATAAATCATGACCATTAGAATCCAACTATGAGATTGATTTTTATGAGAGTATGATGTAATCTCTGTGATGCCTAAAGATCTTGAGTCCGAAATACAAAAACGGTCGCTAGAGATGTGTTGCTAAGGTGTTTAATAATAAAACGAAAAAGTTATTCAATACTCTATCGTTCTCAACGGCTGTCTACCTAAAAAGGAATGGTTAGCCCAGGATGTAGTTTCTTTAAATTGAACCATTTCCGCTTACTAATAAAAGGATAACTTGAAATATTTTCACATAATATTAACCAGAGAATAGAAATTCAATTACCTTATTAGAATATCGTTCATCTTGATGTAAACAGTTGTTCATCACATACTTTTCAACAAATCTAGCTTATTGTGTTGTTTATCTAGCTCTTGATTTGGTGATATATTTTGTAGGTAACATCATGGACTGAAAATACCTAGACAAGTATCGAAAACGACGAACCATTAGACAGCCGTTTCGTTCTAGTAAAATTCTCCTCAGTGGTGTACATCCAGGACTAATTAAGGATGGAAACCAGGTTCATTAGACCTTGTAGTCAATATTTAGACCATTGAATCAGCATCGTCGTTTGGATTTTTGACTCCAACCAATTTGCAATTTTGAGTAACTACCCTCTAATTCCTTTGGTAAGTGCCTCACACCTGACGTGAATGGAATCTGCCAGTCACTCCTCATTAGAACTCCATTAATCCCCTGTTATAATTGTAATTTTTGCTATATATACGACCCAGCTATTCCTATTGCTTAGTATTCTTATACGATGACACTCGACAAGACCCCAAAATCAGAACACGTTGAACAGGAATGAAATTGTATTCAAAATAATAATGACAAGTGAACAGCAATCAATAGTTTAAATAATGTTCATATATTTATAGTATATACATAAGAAGCTTATAGATTTTTCTGCAATATTATGCCCGGGCTGATCGGTTTAAAAATTAACCAATCAGCCCGCAGCAACACCATAATGCATAAAACATGCTTAATCCAATCTATATCCCACTAACATCCCCTCTCGAAATTAGAAGTCGCATACTAGAATTAAGCAGCTTTTCTGTACCCTCTGGTTGTCTAACGAAAGTAACCTCGTTTTGTAAGCAACAAGTCTACAATCTCCTCAAACCACCTACACTAAGCAAACAAAGTAGCTGTTCATTGTATTCTAAATGATACTAGTTTAAATTGAGCAATACTCACAAATAAAATCCCTATCTGAACATAGAAAGCCTACCGATTATTTAAATCTTTGCAAGAATTAAGAGAACCTGTCAGGTATTCATTTTTATGTTACTTTCGAACATAACAGTTATTTAATACTTTCCAATATTTTGTAGTTGATGTCAATCTATTCATTATCATTAGTACACTGTTAGAAAATCAATTAACATTAAATCTTTAGGATGTGCACTGCTGAGGAGACCCATACTAGCACGAAACAGCCGTCCAGTGCTTCCAGGTTTTCCAGAGTGGTCTAGTTTTAATCGACTCATGAATTCAATTATTGAATCAATATTTATTATTTTCATAGTTGAAATCATGAGTCAATTGAAGCTGGACCACCATCGAAAAACTGGAAGCACTGGACACCTCAGCAGTGCGCATCCACGATCCCGCACTCGCGAGATTCGAACCTAGGGCCTACCAGCTTCGCGCCGGAGCACTTAACCGATAGACCACTGAGCCGGCATCCAACGGTGTTAATGTCTAACTTCAACTGATCCACGAAGTTGAGCAACCGTTCACCAATTGTCTTCAGTGAGTTGATATCTCTACGACAGACTTGGTTGAACTCCACTGGTCACTGCTTCCCACTAAAACTCAAGGATTCGAATCTCGCGAGTGCGGGATCGTGGATGCGCACTGCTGGAGAGTCCCATAATAGGACGAAACGGCCGTCCAATGCTCCCAGGTTTTCCATGGTGGTCTAACTTCAATTGACTCATGATTTCAACTATGAAAATATTGAAATATCCACAAAAACCCCTTCCAATATTAGACAATATTATTATTAGTAGTAGTATTAATAGCAGTAGTATTATTAACAATGACATAAAAACATTCAAGTCTTATCAGTGAAATATTGTGTAAAATATAAACAAGAGAAAGCAACAAAAAAGAAAAGAATTTACGAAACATGCAATTTAAATGAAGGAAGACTGGAAGAAACTCTCTTATCACAGACTTTGTCCATATCTTTTCTTTGAAATACATAAACATGCACACAATTTATGCGTGTATGTATATAAATGTACGTGTGTGTGTGTGTTCATTATCATCATCATGATACAATACTTTTCAACAACATTAAATTTAATCACGGAAGACAACTGATTTACTAGTCAATCATAAATCATGTCAAAAAAAGTAATAAATTTTTTTTAGAGAATAATTGAATATTACGTAATCATACATAGATAAAATGAAATCAATGAAACCCTGAACAAAAAAAAACATGCCAAATTATTTAAATATGATTGAAATTTTGTTTCTTTGTATTGTAATTTGTTTTTCTATGAAATAGAATTTATGAAATTGAGCTATGAATCGAAGAAATTACATATGCATATACATATTATGAACATGACGTAATTATTTATGAATGTAATGTAATCATACGGCTATATATGTATATGTCCTTATAAGTCCATATGAATAGATGGATATTCGTGTGATATAATACACAGGAATGAAATGCATGATGTATGGCAAAAAGTATATATTATAAAACTAGAATTCATGCTCTGAACAATAAATACTTAATATCCATGTTGACATTTCATTTTAAAAAAAAGCGCTGAACAAAAGAAATTAAGAATACATACATCATTCTAGACAAATTATCATATTTTAAGAAATGAAAGACAATGGTAATGATGGAAGAAGACAATAAATGAGCACAAATAAAGAATAAACGTGAAGATAATAAGGAAATGAACAAAAAAAACAAACTAATAGGCAGATCTCAAGTAGAATTAGGACAGTGATTTATTCACATCTCCATGCGTATACATATATATGTATATATAACTGATTGCCCAAAATTGATAATAACAATTATGCTCATCTATTTGCTTGTTTTCTTACCAGGAAAAGTTTATTTGAGCTATATATGTTGTCAATTAGAATTCATCATACATAGGTAAGTAAAAATAACAACGTTGACAATAATAAACATAAAATAAAGTTCAAAAAAATAATAGATCCCGATGTAATTTGTTCGATTGAGAAAAAAAGAAGCAGTAGAAATAGCATTAACAATAATAATAATAATAATAATAATAACAAAAATAATAGTTAAATAATGACAGTGACATATGTAAAAAAAAACCGGTATGTTTTGACACAGATGATTGAGTGAGCGTATAAAAAGTAAATGAAAGAAGGTAATATCTTTGGCTTTGGAGAAGAAAAATAAAAACACACACAAGAGAAATGAAAATAATAAAATAATGAACGCGGCATCAGATAGATAATGAATCAATTTGACTGGATTGAAATATATATATGTATATATATATAGCCCTCACCTTGTTTGTTATACAAATGTATATGTGAGTTGGGACTAAACAAATCATCGTTTCATTTTACCAACAATAATCACAATATCAGGATAGAAACGAGATCAGAACAAATAAATTTCAATGGAATGTAAAAAGAAAAACCGGTGTTTACAAATATGAGTAAGAGTGAAATAGTGATAGAGATAGAGACAATACACTTGATGACATGCTAACAACAATAATTATGATGACGGTAGTAATTTCAATGATTTATTCATTAACCAAAAAAAAAATCGAAATATAGTACTCTAATAATAAAGAGAAGAACAAGAAACGATGACAATATGCATAGGATAATGAATAAATTCACAGAATAGTTTATCGTTGAAATGCACAGTATATTAGATGAAAATATTTGTGCAGACTAGCACTTTTCTCTCTGAATAGAGGGAGATTTTATTCAAATTGTTTAAATTTTAAAAAAATTGTGAATTAATGATAAGTAATTATACGTGGAAAACGATGAATAAAAATGTCTATATTAAAACAAAAGCAGTAACAACAACAATAATGGCACATGTGATATGATTAGATGGATCAACATATATATGTGTGTGCACGTATAGATAGAACCAACAAAAGTGAACCGATTATTTTACTCATTTACATAATATGAATGAATGTGTATTTGTTTTAATTCAGTTTAGAGATCGTGAAAAAATAAGAGACGATATTATTATTGATGATTATTGAGAAAAAAAAGTAGATAATATAACGAAGATTGCAAAAATTACTCAGATAACTAAATTTGTATGATAAGGTCGTAAGATTAAGGGATGTTTAGAATACTCTTTAAAAAAATATACTCTAGTTATTATATGTATATATCTATATTCATTCACCAGTTAAATTTTTATAAGGAACAGTCGAATTATCCGATAAATTTCTATAGATAGAACTTGAAATTGGCCAACTACCTGGAGAAGTCATACTTGGGAGACTTATATCAGATGAGCATGGTGGTGAACAAATAACACACATTTCAGATACATTAGATTCAATAGGTTGTCGATTACACTTTTCCACTGGGAGATTACGATTACTTAATCCTTGAGAATGTTTAGACACTGAACATGGATTTGGAAAACGTCGACACGCTTTCTTCCATTTGCATTGATTACACCATTGATCTCTATTTTCGATCCCGTAAACTTTACGACATTTACGAACATCGATACGTCCACTAGTAGTTGATGGTGGTAAGCCAACACGTAAGGGTATGCCACTGACTGAATCTCTATAATCCAACTTCCGAGGTTGTGAAACGAAAGAATTACAGTTAACTTGGAATTTTAGTGTTTTACTTGTTTCAACATTTGTTTTCATTGAAGCTTCATTGGTTGAGGTGTTCGGCTGAATGGTATACCCTTGTTCAACTGTGTGAGAAGTTTCCGACCTAAGAAACTCTCCAGACTTAGATTCTCGACTCCTGGGTGGGAAGTATACATGATGAAACATTTCTGCACTACCAATGGGGTATGATAAGGAAGTCGTTTGTGATTCCTTAGACTGCAATTGATAGGAAACATTACAAAGAAATATATTATTCATTTAGAGAACGATTTGATGAAGAGAAACAGGCAAGTTTTTAACAAGATTTTTAACCGAAGGGAAACGCTCTCTTTATCAGTAACTGTCATGTTACTGATATTTATAATAACGACCGTTTACTAACTTTTATTGATAAATAATAACCAAAAAGCACTATTAGGCATAACTTAAGGGGATATTTTTTATGTGTGGGCGAGAATGATAATAATTGATTGTCTGCTCAGTCAGACATGTAGAGAGTCTGACATTTGTCAGATGAGTTATATATTCCCAACCATTGGTTACGATAGTCGCGTGGACTCCAACCAAGTAGTCTGCATCTACCAACATGGCTTGGTGGACAAGGCGAGTCCACCTAGGGGAGTTGGAAAACCCTGATTCCAAACCAATGGTGCACATGGGCTTCAGTATCCTGAGGGAACAAATGGCGTACGAATCAATCGTTGATCACCGGCTACCATGGGACTGCATCTCCTCACGATGCTCCACTGCCTTGTGAACTAGACCTTCAGGTCAAAGGCTCGGGGTGTGGTCCCCTAAGAAAACCACCTGCTTCAGTTCGGACACCTGGGCAGTATCACAGCCCTCACACAAATCGAATGAGATTTGTGAGGCGCATATATATCTGGTGCTTCCTTGTAATATTTGTGTTTAAATAAATAATAAAAAACATGGCTCAGACCAGAAGTCAGTGACTTCAAGCACTGATGCCACGTTTCGGTTTGGCCGCCCCTAACTCTCTTCCAACTGTCTCCAATACTAGTCAGCATAGCGCGTCGTGGTAATCGGTGTTCAGGCATTTCTAACAAATCCAATTCCACGATATGAATAGTAGTTTGAATAGACAAATGAAGCGATACATTTCTATAAGAACAATTTTTAAATTCAGGTTAATATTTCTCAAATATTAGATTAGCGAACTGAACATTTCTCGTGAGTACCGCTACGACATTGCTATAATTTTAGCATGAATAATGTGCACATAGCCAACCAAGAAAAGCAAAACTTCAACGAAGATCGTGGACGTGTGAAATTAAAACCCCATCTAGGGGTGATCATGTATTCCTAGAATATACAGGCGAGAAACGACACATATGATAAATAGGAATTACTTAGGAACAATAGTAACTCACATGATCAACATTTATATGACTCGGACAACTTTCAGAAAAGTATGAACCTGATTCTGAAGGATGTGGAAGTATATTGTGAGCTTCACTTAAATTATGTGTCGGACTGTCTATCAATGATACAAGACTTAAACTATCCGTAAATCTAACACAAGACAAGTGTCTACGTACAGGAACTGTATATCCAGTAATTGGTTGTTCTTTATTTTCACGTAGCATTGACGAATGACTTCTAGAGTAGACTGGATCTGCACCATAATAAACTTCATTGGTTGTCGGTGTTGAAGGCACACTAGTGGGTGAATACATGATCGAACTGAAAGCTTGTTTTAATCCATCTAATAGCATACTTCTGTGACAATCTTGATTACATTCAATACAACTATGAGCCAATATGGAAGACAGTAACTGAAAACTCACTGAGCCACGTTCGTTAATTAATGATGGAAGGATTTGTTGAGCATAAACAAGAGGATTCGATGGAGGTTCGGAACTGGTGAAAATCTAAGATGAATTTCGAAAAAAAAACCCACAGAAATATAACTAGTGGACAGGTATTTATGAATTGTAAGGAGTAGAGCAGAGAGCTTATTTAGACGTCGGTATGAATAGGACTATAGCTTAAACTTAACTAATAAATCAAATGTATCAATATTGATCGATGGAGTAGGGTTGAAATCTGCAAACCCATAGATCATAACCAGTGACGACACCGATTAGATATGCTGAACGTTCTTAAGACAAGTTGGTCAGTCATTTGAAACTAACGAGACGAAACCAAGAATGGATCAAAGATACAGTTTTAGGGAAAGTAGCGTGTGATGAAAAACGAATAGATTAAAAGTAACATGTTCAGTATATTAGGTGGTATACGTGTCACCAACAACCAATTCTATTTCCGTAATCATAATTGATAATTAAGCTACATCCAACCAAACGGACTAGCACACAATATAACTCAACGAACAGGCACCATACTACACCAATTTTACCAGATAAAACGAAGTGGTATTTAGTCATGCTTAAAAACATCTGACTACAGAGTTTGATTCAAATTAAAAAGTTCTTCAATCGATTAAATTAAATTTAACTTTAAACATTACTTACTAGATGGATCCATCACTGTTGACACATAATCAAATACGTGAAGGCTTCTTTAATAACCTTACCTCACAGCCTAATAGGGCATTTGATAGTACTAATATGTGAGATACCTAACTGATAGCAAACGCAAGATCTAACAAATTCTAACTGTAGGTCAAATATGTACAGAAATTTTTCGGCTAACAGCTAACAATAAAACAGATAGCATTTTAAGGTAAAAGAAAAAACGAAGGTTTTCGTAAATTATCTTTCAATCAAATGATATATAAATAGTTCATTTCCACTGATAAGATGGCTAATGGAATTTCAACAGGGGGATACTGACTGGATTCTAGGTCAAAAGGTGAATACTAAAAATTAATTGAGATTTGGTGGATCGAGATCACACAATGAACCCAATGGTACTTTTTTCAAATCAAGTAGAAATAAATTAGGGAGATCAGTTCACAATAAGATTCAAAGGAAGGTAGTGAATTTACAATTATTTTTTTTGTTATTTCAAATAGTTTAATTGTTACGGTAAAGCTTGAACGGTAACTCCTAAGATAGTGGATTACATGACCTTTTTAAAAATAAGTGGAGTGAAATGGACATACATACTGCTCTAACGATGGATAAACAAGTTATCAATCTATTAATCTAAATCCATATTAGTTCATATCAAGAAATCTTACACTTGGGATTCAATAATATTAAAATCTTCAACAACAAAAGTAACGGGCTGAAATGTTTGGTTTTGTAGTGCCATAATTCTTCGACGAATTTTCAAACTAATATAAGTTAACAACAATAATTAGTGATACTTACATCACTCTTAGGATCCGACGATGCGTGGATAAAATTGGGAGAAGTAACACAAGTGTTTTCAAAAATTGGGTCAAGATGAAACGAATTTGCGTTATTTGAATCCTCTTGAAATGATTTACAATCACAGGGTGATATTTTATCCCTGACAAACTCTAGTGAATTTTGTGTGCCAAAATTAGGGAAACATTTTGGACAAGTAGATGAAGGGTTCGAAAAACAATACTGTGATTTATCTTGTTCTTGTTGTTGTTGTTGCTGTGGTTCACTGGTCATGAAACGAGTTGACTGATAATTTGAAACAACAGTTTCTCTATTTACTGTGACTAGATTTGATTTTAGGCATAAACTAACATTACTAGATGTTGAGGGCATGCTAGTTTCCGAGCTTGTTTCAATTGCTGAAAAATGAGCTTGTTCAAAACATGATGGAGAGTATACAGGTAGTTGAGAGCGATCTTCAGAACAGTTTTGAACATAATCCCCTTCAAATGCATTTGATGATGCCAATAATGTTTTCATAGTTTCTTTGAGTTCATTTATGTCTACTTTCTCCCAAGTGTTGGCTGAAAGCAGTAAGCAGAAAAAAAAACTTGAAACAAATTGATACTTTTAACAAGCAGATAAACAGTTAATAAACAATAAAAACGACTATAGTCTTGATTTGGTACAATGTAACATCCACTTCATTGTAGATGTATTGATAAAGACATCGACTCGCGGCTGAAAGTTGTCTGTAGTCAGTTAATCTGGTGAGTTTCGTCAGAACTAAGTAATTGTTAAGATTTGCCATAAAAATAAGGATGAAAATCCAAAGCAGTTTAAGTGTAAAACGACTAAGACGCTAATCAGTAACCACGAGCAGTAAACGCAAAATGAAAGATCTCGTTCAAGATTTTTTTTCCTTCTCAGCAGCAAATCAAAATAAGAATTAGAACATTGTTTAAGTTGGTTGAACAAGGATTGAGATGCTCAAATTAAATTTTGTGACTCAAATTGATACAAGATTCAGGAACAAAAGTACCGGAATAGCAATAGTATTTTGGTATGATACAACGATAATGGCAGTGATTCTAATGATTTGAAAAATGGAAATAATTCTGACATTAATACTAGTTATTAATAAATGCTTAGAATAATCGAGAAAAATATCAAACGACTGTTTGATGTCGAGTGTTTCGAAGCTTTAATGAGACTTGTTGTGTGCACGAGAACAAATCAACTGAGACTGACGAATGGAATAAAATCTAATATATTCTTTGAACAGATGAATGACATAAGATTTACCAGGTGTTTAATATGCTGTATTACATATAAAAATAGATTTTAAAATGTGTCATGCAATCTGAAACTCACGTTCAGATGTTGTACTAGGAGAAATAGACTCAATCCAGTGCAAAACAGCTTCAACCACATAATCTGTTGAGGTTTGATTTCGGAAACTTGTGGTTTGAGATGGAATGGAGGTTCGCTTTACTTCAAGAGGTGAGTCTTCATCGTGTGCTTTTACTAGTCCTTTCGAAGATAGCTCTGGTTGGGAAGAAAACGTGTCCCAACGTTTGTGAAAGCAGTTATCACTGTTCGAGGAGCCTACCCTCTGAGTCACCAGATATGTTACAGATGAGGGATCCATGGACCCGCGAGAAGGGAGGCTTGTACCAAGTGCTGACTTATGTGGGTAGCGATTATTATCAGAAAATGTCCTATGAGACGAAACATCGAAATGTCCTGCAGATTCTCTAGGGATATTTATATCAGTTACATCCGAGGAGCCCAAAATCGGTGAGAGACCGAATGATGCTGTAGAGTTTGATGGCAAACCAGACAAAGTAGTCATTGGCTCAAAAGATGATCCCTCATCAATAGATGCTCTAAAACAAATAGTGAATACAAGATCAATGTCGGAAGAACGACGTCAGATAGTACAAGAGACTTTAAAACAGCTTCAAAAAAGCTGAGTAATGCAAACGAAACGACTGCGTATACAAACAACAAAAACAGTATCATAAAATTGAAGGTAGTTTAAAAATAGACATACGCCATTAACATATGATACATTTGCATATTGGTCAGATTTACCGTAATTTACGACGAACCTAATGAAAGAGATTCACAATGGAGCGAAAATGTGGTAGAGTACAAGCTCACATTGGAGGACAATCTGAAAATTTTATAGCCCTTTGTGCCTGAATATCAACTAACTTCGTTTAGTTTAAAACTCCGCCTGTAGCTCTTCTAGAGTTACTGCCGGTCCCAAGCCCGGGTAAAGGAGGAGGGTTGGGCATGGGGTTAGCGACCCCATCCCGTAGAAAAGCTAACTCGCTAAAAAAACGCTAACCAGAAAAAATAATTCAAACCATTTAAACTCTGCCCTGGGAGTTGAAGGAATAATGACGTCTCATGATGAAAGCCGAAATTCTTCGGAAGTCACGAGACCGATGCACCTTCTAACAACCAGAGCAACACTCTTTATAGGTACATGGAACGTCCGGACAATGTGGGAGACAGGAAAGACCAGCCAAATAGCAATGGAAATGAGGAGATACAACTTGGCAGTACTCGGAATCAGCGAAACCCATTGGACACAAACTGGACAACAAAGGCTAGGTACAGGAGAGATGCTGCTGTACTCCGGTCACGAAGGGGAAAACGCGCCACACACTCAGGGAGTTGCTCTAATGCTGTCCAAAGAAGCACGAAATGCACTTGTGGGATGGGAATCTCATGGACCCAGGATAATCAAAGCATCATTCAGAACAAAGAAGCAAGGGATCACAATGAATGTTATCCAATGTTATGCACCCAACAATGATAGCAACGACGATGATAAAGATCAGTTCTATGAAAGGCTGCAATCAATTGTAGCAAAGTGCTCACGAAAGGACCTCACCATCCTGATGGGAGATCTAAATGCTAAAGTTGGAGTGGACAACACAGGATATGAAGATGTAATTGGACGACATGGACTAGGAGAGAGAAATGAAAATGGGGAGAGACTTGCAAACCTATGTGCTTTCAACAAATTGGTTATAGGCGGCACAATATTCCCACACAAACGCATACACACAGCTACATGGATCTCACCGGACCACACCACAGAGAACCAGATTGATCACATCTGTATCAACAAAAAATTCCGAAGATCAATGGAAGATGTGAGAACCCGGAGAGGAGCTGACATAGCTTCAGATCACCACCTGGTTGTGGCCAAGATGAGACTGAAGCTAAAGAAAGACTGGACAACTGGACAAACAGCACTACAAAGGTTTAATACAGCCTTCCTTCGAGATACTGACAAACTCCATGAATTCAAGATAACTCTCAACAACAGGTTCCAAGCTCTACAGGATCTACTGAAAGAACAAGAAACTACTTTGGAGGACAACTGGAAAGGGATAAAAGAAGCACTAACTTCAACGTGTCAGGAGGTTCTTGGTCCTAAGAAGCATCATCACAAGGAATGGATCTCTATGGGGACCCTGGACAAACTTCAAGAAAGGAAGAACAAGAAACTAGCAATTAACAACAGCCGAACACGAGCAGAGAAAGTAAAAACACAAGCAGACTACGCAGAAGCAAACAGAGAAGTGAAGAAAAGCATTAAAGCCGACAAGCAGAAATACATGGGAGAACTAGCAACGGCGGCGGAAAAAGCTGCAAGAGAAGGGAATATGAAACAACTATATGATACAACGAAGAAATTGGCAGGGAGATATAGCAAACCAGAGAGACCAGTCAAAGACAAAGAAGGAAAGACAATCACTGAGATTCAAGAACAGAGGAAAAGATGGGCAGAATACTTCGAGGAACTGCTGAATAGACCAGCCCCATTGAATCCACCGAACATCGAAGCAGCCCACACTGACCTTCCAATAGATGTCACTCCACCAACGATCGAAGAAGTCAAGATGGCCATCAGACAAATCAAAAGTGGGAAGGCGGCAGGACCTGACAATATACCAGCAGAAGCACTGAAGTCAGACATTGAAATAACTGCAAATATGCTTCACCTTCTATTCAAAAAGATTTGGGAAGAGGAACAAGTGCCAACGGACTGGAAAGAAGGATATCTCATCAAGATACCAAAGAAAGGAGATCTGAGCCAATGTGAGAACTACAGAGGCATCAGTTTGTTATCAGTACCAGGAAAAGTTTTCAACAGAGTGCTGCTGAATCGGATGAAAGACGCAGTAGACGCCGAACTTAGGGATCATCAGGCTGGATTCCGTAAGGATCGGTCGTGCACAGACCAGATTGCGACACTACGGATCATCGTTGAACAATCAGTTGAGTGGAACTCATCACTATACGTCAACTTCATCGACTATGAGAAGGCGTTTGACAGCGTGGATAGGAGAACATTGTGGAAACTTCTTCGACACTATGGAGTTCCTCAGAAGATCGTCAACATTATCCAAAACTCATACGATGGATTACAGTGCAAAGTGGTGCATGGAGGACAGCTGACAGATGCATTTCCAGTAAGGACCGGAGTCAGACAAGGCTGTCTACTCTCCCCATTTCTCTTCCTTCTAGTGATTGACTGGATTATGAAGAATTCGACATCTGGCGGGAAATACGGAATACAATGGACTTCTCAGAATCAATTAGATGATTTGGACTTCGCAGATGACCTAGCCCTCCTCTCTCATACACACGACCAAATGCAGATGAAGACAGCAAATGTAGCAGCAGCCTCCGCATCGATAGGCCTCCACATTCACAAAGGAAAAAGCAAGATTCTCAAATGCAACACGGAGAACACCGACCCAATCACACTTGATGGCGAAACTCTGGAAGAGGTGGAAACATTCAAGTACCTGGGGAGCATCGTTGATAAACAAGGAGGATCGGATGCAGATGTAAAGGCAAGGATTGGCAAAGCAAGAGCAGCATTTCTACAATTGCAGAACATATGGAACTCAAAACAACTCTCCACCAATTTCAAGGTCAGAATCTTTAATACGAACGTCAAGACAGTCCTACTGTATGGAGCTGAAACGTGGAGAACTACTACGGCCATCATCAGGAAGGTACAAGTATTTATAAACAGTTGTCTACGCAAAATACTCAACATCCACTGGCCGGATACTATCAGCAACAGCGTTTTATGGGAGAGGACAAACCAGCTTCCAGCTGAAGAGGAAATTAGGAAAAGACGTTGGAAGTGGATCGGACATACATTAAGGAAATCACCAATGTGCATCACGACTCAATCCCTAACTTGGAATCCGGAAGGGAAGCGGAAAAGAGGAAGGCCAAAGAACACACTAAGCCGGGAAATAGAAGCCGATATGAAAAGGATGAATAGCAACTGGAAATAACTGGAAAGGAAGGCTCAGGACAGAGTTGGATGGAGAATGCTGGTGAGCGGCCTATGCTCCTCGACGAGGGGTAACAGGTGTAAGTAAGTAAGTAAGTCGTTTAGTTTAAATAGCTGAACATGATCAATATTCCTCATCCAAGATGGATGGCTATCAGCCGAGTATGAGAACTTATGCTTGACTACGAAGTTATACTAGGAATTATTTATTTATTTATTTAAACACATAAATATTGGTACAAGGAAGCACCAAATACATATGCGCCTCACAAATCTCATTCGATTTGTGTGAGGGCTGTGATACTGCCCAGGTGCCCGAACTGAAGCAGGTGGTTTTCTTAGGGGACCACACCCGGAGTCTTTGACCGAAAGATCTGATCCACAAGGCAGTAGATCATCGTAAGGAGATGCAGTCCCATGGTAGCCGGTGATCAACGATTGATTCGTACGCCATTTGTTCCCTCAGGATACTGAAGCCCATGTGCACCATTGGTTTGGAATCAGGGTTTTCCAACTCCCCTAGGTGGACTCGCCTTGTCCACCAACCCGGTTAAAGCGCCGGACATTCGCTTTTCGTCCTCTCAATTTCGTAAACAACACCCGCGCGACGAGAAGGCAGTGAGTAGGACTTCCCTGGCAGAGGCTATATATTTGCTGGTCATATGAGAGCATTGCGAGAGGGAGAGCGGATTCTCCCCACTCTCGGCCGTACCAGGGCATTTGGGGGTCCGAATGGAGTGTGGTTGAATGAACGTGTGATATTGGACAGGCGACGTATAGTTGTTGGATGGAGAGATGATTGTGGGTCGGTATACTGCCACAGTGATTGAGAGTCGGTCGGCTGTGTTGGTGGATTAAGTATGCAGCGCAAGTGTATTGACGGATGCGTGACGAAGTGAGTGGTGATGTTGTTGATGTGTTGCGTCAAAAATGGCTACCGCCTCCGGGTGGGCACGAACCATCAACCTTTCGATTAACAGCCGAATGCGCTAACCGGTTGCGCCACGGAGGCGACTACTAGGAAACTAAAGATGTAAGAACGAAACATATAATATCGGTACTACTTGACTTGATTTAATAATTTATGGTGAGTGAGTCTATGTTATAACCCAAAGGTGCATTAGTTCAGTCGAGTACTAACAAACTAGTAGAAATTATGAGAATTGAAGGCAGCTGCTGCCCACAAGGTAGTATTAGGCGGCCTAGTGTTACCAATAATAAACATCGCTCCAGAAAATTCGAGCACCAATCCATCTAAATAACTTTTTAATCAATCCAAATAAGTACTGAGGCACTAAATCAATTCATGAAGTCATTGACCGTCGGTCTGATTTATAACCGTGATTACGGACTGTTTGGAATCTGTGGGACAGTTCTGACCAGTTTTTAGAGTCCAAGCCGAAATAACCCATTATCAATAGCAATGCGCTGATAAATATATTCGCTACTTTATAAATTTTGAATTTCAAAATTATTCCTAGGGGCACTAAATACATATGCGCCGCACAATAACAATAAAGTTAGTACTAGTTATGAATTATCTGTATCTTTCGCTCATATTCCTGGAATTAGTCTCAAACTATATTATCTACTCCTAATCCTTTGTTATCATATGACTTTTGACCCTTTTCTATTTATCCTGGTAATGATCTCTAGAGGTAATGAAACTGTGATAAGTTGGACAATTTGCCTGGTCTCAAGATTTGACAGACCAAGATTCTAACGTTATTAGGTCAACAGTTGGATTAGTCTAAAAAATTAGCCACTAGAATTGCACCGGGTAGGGATCGCTATAGACTGGATTGACTAGATTTACTCGTCTCCCACAAAAATACTTAAATGATTACAAAAAATGATCAGTCAGGTGGGACACTCACCTAGATGGTACATCGATGAATAATGGATAAGAAAACGAGTCCGAAACCGTGGCCTCACATTTCGTCGGGAAAGCTGTATTATTGTGCGGACTTGGGGAAATTTCATCACATCCAATCAAGTCACTATCCCATTCGTCTTCTGTCGGTGGAGTTAAGATTGACTGTTGGGGTGTAGAAGGTAGAATATCTTCAAGACCACGAGTGACAAGTCTAGAACCGCCATCAGCTGGTCGTACAGTGAACATATTCAGTTCAGGCATACAATGCACTACTTGTCCATAGCACACTGTGCCACCATACCGTATCCAAACACGAGTGCCTGGTTGGGGTGTAGAGGGCCACCTCTTCAGAAAACGCTGTCCATCCCCCCCACTATAGAAGCGTCCTGACTCTTCTGAGGAAGAGGCGACCCCAAATGAACGAGAACCTTCAGCAATACTGCTTGTACAATCTTCAAGGCCTGACTTATCCTCTGCGATTAGAGGGATTGAATCTTGGTGTCTCTGCAATTTGAAGAGTAGAAATAATTGTAAGGTATCTAAACAGCTAGGTTGCTTGTAGTATTTGTGACTTCCAAGATCCAAAATAAGATCGATGTTAACATTGCACTTATATGTGCAAATCAACAAATGACCTTGTGGGTACAAATCTTCCTCTGTATTCTGTGCCCAATATTTCACCGTTAAAATCAACAATATTGACAGGCAGGAGTTGGACACTTATATTCAGCACTCTAGTATAGAACGAACTATCTATACAAAGTCAAAAAGGTTTTAGCATCTACATGGCTAAACGTCTTGACTATAGGGTTCTAAAACCTTTGGTGGTTATTGCATGGCAAAGTACAGTAAATGGTTCAAATGGTTGAGGACGGAATAGAAGAAGCTTTCGCTTAACGGGATTCCGTGTCTGGTAGCATTGGATCACTAATACCTCCAGGCAAAAACATAGGTATATGAACGATAATAGAGGGGGGAAAAAGAATTTGGTAAATCATAGTAATATGTTATCATTAGTCCTTAAGAATAAGTCAAGTTTTCTCTTAAAGGACTCCTGGGAGAGGAGTTACCTAAGTTATAACTATAGTCTACAACATGTCTCAGATGGACTACCTTGCACATTGAAGTGTTGAAGGTAAGTTCGTTGTCGTCTGCCCAACTTTGAAGTCGGGTCAGATCCTCCTGAAGAACTAGTATATCATTATGATTACGTATCTCTCCCCAAAGTTTCACATCATCAGCAAAAAGCAATAAGTCAGATGACACTTGTTGAGGAAAATCGTTAATATAAATCAAGAAGAGAAGAGGTCCTAGTATTGAGCCCTGAGGGACCCCACTAGGACATTCCATAGCCTGAGAGAGAGTGAAGTTAACCCTGACCTTAAAATGTCGGTTTTCTAAATATGAAGAGAGCCAATCAATCAAAGGGGGTTTTATACCCAATTGTCCAAGCTTCTTGATAAGACATGCGTGGTTGACCCTATCAAAAGCTTTTGAGAAGTCCTGGTAGATGACGTCAACCTTCCCCTTGCGATCAAGGATGGTCGTCCATCTATCCACCGCAGTTAGCAGGTTGGTCGTACAAGAAAGACCTTTTCTGAAACCATGCTGTTGAGGCGAGAAGAACTTTGAGGATGATAAGTGTTCTAGTATACCGTCGTATACTAGGGATTCCATAATTTTGGAAGGTATGGAGAAAAGGGCCACTGGCCGGTAGCTTGAGGGTTCACTGCGTCGACCTCCTTTGAAAATTAGTGTGATGTGGGCCAGCTTCCATATTTCCGGTAGTTTGCCTCTGCTTAGTGAATGTGCAAACATCACGCTAAGTGGTGTTGCCAGGATTGAAGCTGCTTCCCTCAATACAGCGGAATGAACCATATCCGGACCAGGAGAAGTGTCTTTTCTTAGGTTCTGCAGTTTACGGAGCACCAGGTCAGCACTCAGGTCCACTTCGGAAAGTCCTGTACAGGTGCAGGTGAAGCTTTCGTCAGTATGGTTGATGTGCTCAGCTGGAATGTCCTGGAGTATTGTTCAGCCAAAAGGTTAGCGGCATCACTGTCGTTATTGGTCGGGCCATTAGGACCAAGCAGTTGGGAAACTCCAGTTCTGCCTTGTCGAAGAGAAGCTGCGTAACTGAATAAGCTCTTCGGATTGGAGACAAATTTATCTATAAGCTTGGTTTGGAACTTAAGCCTGTCTTCTCTTATTGCCTTTGTGCATATGTTCCTTATATGTTTGTATTGCCTGTACGCGCCGTTGTTATCAGTTCGTTTATATTCAGCCCAACGGTGCCTTTTGCAGCTTAGCAAACGACGAGTGCGGTTCTTGATGATTGGAGGTTGCTTGTAGCTTTTTGGGACCATTTTAGGAACTGAATGCTCAGTAGCACATAAGTTCGTGTGCAGTAAAAAATCCCAATGAGCATCCACTTCAAGTTGAGGGTGAACATCCCAATCCACCTGTTGTAGATAGTCCTGTAAAGCTAACACATTCAACCGTTTGAAGTTCCAGCGCTTGTTGCTAGTAGGATATCGTGACTCCGTTTTGCTGACAAAGCTGAATGATAAGACGGCGTGATCACTTTTCCTCAGGGGAGCCAGGATTGAGAGGTCGTCAACTAGGAATTCTTCACTTGTGAATACCCAGTTTAAGCGCAACGGCGTCTGACTGTTTCTCCAACGGGTTGCCGACTTCACATTTTCGAATAATCCCAGGTCGCCGATAAGGTTGAAGAACAGAGCTTCAGTAGAGTTGGCACCACCAATGTATGCATGTTCCACGAAGTTGATTCTAGGGAGATTGAAGTCCCCTAGAATCAGGATATGGGAGAATCCGAGACGCGTAGAGCGAGTTAATCCTTCCAGCAGACGTTTTTCATACTCCATGTCGGCAGTGGGCTTCCTGTAAATGACCCCAACTAGACACCTCGAGGTGGTAGACAATCTTACTGAGCACCATACTGACTCATCGAGATTGAGAAACTCTTGGTTGTGAAGTTGGTGTGCATCCAGGCATGACTGTATGTATTGTGCTAGCCCGCCCCCATTCCTGTTTTTCTGTCGTTGCGAAATAAAGACATCCCAGTTATTGCTAACTCCTGGTCCGTAAAAAGAGACGTTATCCAAGTTTCGGATATTCCTATCAGATGGGCATCATTAGCGTTGCTAAGTTCACGTAGCTCATCCATTTTGTTTGGCAAGCTCGCGGCGTTCGTGTATAAGCTGTTTATGCTTTCAATTTGGAACGCGTGAGCTTCTTCCTGTTTGTTTATATGAGCCGTGCGTGAGTGGACAGGTAGCCTACCAATACGATGTTTACCGAGTTGGTAGTCCCTGTCTTTTACACGTTTTTTTATGATGAAGACAGTCCACGAGTGGAATTGTCAGCTCCAGCTTTCCCTTGTGCTTGATCCTGCTGTCGAGGGGCCTGTCCGGATGCCTATGGATGCCAGTTGGCAACCGACGTCTATTGGCACGAAATGCTTCCAGAGTTGCAGCCGCTATGTGGGAGGAGGGGAAGGTTATCTTCAACAGCCGGGGCCTAGAGTCTCCGTCTCTCTTGGCTAGTCGCATTACCTGTTGGGTCAATATGTTCTTGAGTTTTAGGGAATGCTTAATGAATTTCCATTCCCGAATATCAGAGTTTGCTTAAGTTGGGTCCATATTTTGCAAAACACCTTGCACAATGATATTTCGTCCACGGAAAAACGCCTCGCGAGATTTCTTAGGGATGTCGGGCAGTATTCTTACGTTCCCATCGGACTTCAGTAAGTGACTGGCTAGCAGGACGTCCTCTACGTCGGAGGCATTCTTAAGTGTAACACGAAGCAGCCTTGGGTGGTTTAGGTGGTTAGAGTCCTTCCACCGAGTGAGCCGTGTTACGGTCAAAGGCTCTATTCTAGGGAGTTCAAGCCTCTTGTTTAATTCTCCCCAGAACAACCTATCATTTTCGTCCTTCAAACTGAGCGGAAGGTCGGGGTTGTCAATAAGGTTCATGATTATGACAAAGTCGTCACGAACCGTAATTGATTTCCCAGGGCGTTTAGGTTTGGTATCTTGTTGTTTGGATGTAGTTTTTAAGCTTTGTCTAACGATGACTCCTAAGTTATTGTATGTATGAACAGCAGATAGCTCGATGTTATTCGCCGCGTATGTATCTGTGTCTTTACGATATTCATGCGCTTTTTTATATAAATGACCTTTTCGTTTGATACACTTGCCACTTAAGTGACATTGTACTCTATCTGATAAAGTACAATTTTTATCGCCGATTATTGTTAACGTTAACTTTATACCTCTTCAGTACTATTTTCAAAAACAGACATTTTTCAAATTAATGTTCTTCCTAGTGGCCGGGCCTATATCGAGCCCACATAGGTTATTCTAGCTTCCATACATGCCAATTTTTTCATTCTTCTCGAGTCACATTTTGATGTTGTTAATTATTCGGTTACCAACCTTGACTGCTTTTATGTAAACGTATGTGTGTGCGTCTATTATCCGACTCATCACATGTCCGTAACCTATTTTTATCTGAATAGAAATATCGGTTAACGCTTGATTAAATGGAGTTGGCTGACTCACCGTCTCCATTGTTTTGTACCACTTTCCGATCAACGATTGTACGAGATATACGTATTCAAAAATCCATTCTTGTATTTGACTGATTTAATTCCGTTATTCACCAACGTGATTAAAGTCGATGATGATATACAAGGTTATGTAGCATGTTTACTTCGATGACAATCATTCCTCCGACCTAACTGAAACCAGTTATCAAGCCTTGAAACCTTCAATAGAAAAGAAGGTCTCACTATCCATCCGACTTGGACCATCCTTTCGAAACACTATGTCCAATTATATTCACACTCAACATCTTTGTCGTACATACAGTTTCAACTCCATCATTTCGCACCAAATATCGCATTTTTTTGTCCTTCACTATATGCACAACTATACAATCATGCCTCATATAAATTATTTTGGCCGGAATAACATGACATTGGCTTGGTCAGACCTGTTTTCATTGGTCGCACTGAGTATTCTTGTATTGTTCCTTTACACTATCCGGGCTTCAGTTAATTTAATTTGTTTATTTATTCTCTGAAGGAGTGGCTTACACTGGGTCACAAAACGTTGGAATGGTTTTAAAAAAACTTAATTTATCTACTTATTGGGATGTTTTAAATATATTAGAGTCAACTTTCTTTGTCACACTATACTCAAGCCTCTGGGATATGTTATCAGCAAACATCCGCAAAGTCAAGCGCTTCCTTAATTTGAACCTTCCCTAAACTTCTTCATGGACGTATTTTGAAGTTTCTTACATGCTAGACGGGGCTTACCGAGACCAAGCTTCATTTAACGATGGGCCATAAAATATCTTACCTTATGAATTAATATCCGACTGTCTCTTTGTGACCATGTCACAAACTGCAGATACTTAACCCCCAAATAGCTTCTGTAATTTCACACTTCGCACGTTGCAGTCCCAATACATTGCTTTATTGGTTTTCCTTTATTACATACTTCCTATTCCCTTTTTATAACCAATAAATAAACATGATTCTTACGATTTCTTTTGATCTGCACAATAATTAATGGCATTGCATGCAATTAGCCTTAAAACACCTCGGACCGCGATCGAATAAAACCTAATGCAACTAGAGACTACTCGAGGGA